GGTTTAAGGAATTACAAAAATTTGAAATTTCTAGTTTGAGCCTAAGTGAACCTTTTATTATGCGAATTCAAATTAGTTCATTAATAATAGAACTTCTCTTGGGCCTTAAATGTTAATAGATGAATATTCTTTAGGAATGAGTCGAGGAGCAAAGATGTCAGCATTTCGATTCTTGTCTGATTCCTTGTTCAGCAAAAACAATAGAAGGTACAAGCCCACTTTACTTCAACCAAAATGGCCTTAACCCATGTTGGTTCTTTTGTTCCTCTTGCATAACAGTTGGGCCTCCAAGGCAAAACTCATACTATATCATATACAAGAATTAATTTCTTCAACATATGGGATATCATTCGATCTTTGCCATCTCAACAAGCAAACTGATTTAGTTTTCTTAGATCAACATGATAAACATTAAACAAGAACAATTCAAGAAACAAAACAAAAGAAAAATGATAAACAGTGATGAATTTGCATGGTCGCTTCGTGAAGTGTTGTTTGAAAGGTGGCGGTTGTGTTGGCTTAAACTTGTTCTCTATCAAATTCACTTTTTAACTACGTGTTATTTTTATATGCCTTTTTCTATCACGAGTAATTTAAGTATCTAAAGCTTAATTCGTAAATTGCAAGTCCATGTAAATGATCAATGATGTCGCAAATAATATATAAGATTTTCGCCCTCATGAAGTCTACAGCCTAAAGGCAGTTGAGTGATGGTGTGCCACAGTAAAAATGGGACGGATACTATATTATCATGGAAATTAAGGTCAATAATTTATCAATGGAAAGCTCAAAATATAATGCAGATAATTAGTGTATCATATTAAGACGGAGTACAGAAATTAACGTTTTGAAAATGATCTAGAATTAAAAACAAAGCATCATACTATTAATATTAGCTGTCTTGCAAAAATAGATTAATCACGCAAATACCATAATTCTGAGAGCGAGAAATAATATACAAAATTATTATGGTTATATAAAATTTTCAGGTTTGTCAATAGGGTTATTCTACTCAGGGTCACAACTGTTAAAATTTGTAAGGGTTCCTATTTCTTTGCGAGCAAGCAATGGTCGACATCCCTTGCGACAAGCATTCTCGCACTCACCGGAGGTGGCACCATCCAACTTCATGCAAATGCGCATGCAATCTCTAAGGCAGAACACCATGTGATCATCTTGACCTCTCATCAATGCCATTGATGAATCATTACTTTCCATTGCAATTGCAATTGATGGCGATGTCGATATGTATATTATTTGGATCCCCAATACGTACCATATGTATCCCATTCTTCCTTTATTTCTTGAGTTTTTCTGAATGTCTCCCTAGGAAACTTTTCATGTAAACTTTTGGTATTAATTAATTTCGTGTGATAGCAAAATATTGTTCAAATCCGTTCAATGGGAGAAGTGTAGAGTGAAGTGAGGAGGTTTGGACTATTGACATTACCTCTTGACCTTCAACCTATATAAGGCCCATCAAACAGCTACTTTCTTTGAGCGAGTCCCAAGTACTTACCTTTTTCTTTTTTCTTTTAATCCATTTCCCTCTGAAATAAAGGAGGGGGCTTTTAAGAAAATGTTATCTTTATTTTGATAACTCTATTTCAGTTGACGGTTAAAAAGTTAAAGTAATTATTAAAACAGTTAACTTCACTAACCTTCATAAAAATTTAAAAATATATCATGAAAAATTAAGGGACATGTGTTATAAAATGATAATTTTATTTAACATTAAGAAGGATAGTTTTTCTTTGCCATCAATCTTACTTAATTAGCTCATGTGACTAACATGATGCAATTAGATGCGCTACACTAACTAAAACTGAAAATTCAAAAGTAAATTCTTTAATTAGTCCGCTCGAAGTTGATCATATTCATCTATTTCAATAAAAAAATATACCGTTCAAAACAAAAAAATAAAAAAATGTATAAACTTCAAACTTTTTTTTTTCTTTAAAAAGAAATTACTGTTCCTATGCCCGAAGTTGAAGATGTAGCATGTAGTAGCCAATCATGATCAGAAATTAAGAATTACAAGGAAATACACATGAATTCATATCATAACAAAAAATGGCCCATGTTTTTAAGTTTTACCTGACCTAACCCATATTGTATATATTTTGAAAGCACTTGCAAATTCAAAAGTTGTGTTCTTACAACCCTTGCCTTCAAAAGCTATGGAGTTAAATCTTTGTTCTCACAATTATTGCTTTCACCCTCTCTTCTTCTCACATCTTCAACATATGCTTCAAAGGGCCATGTATTTTCTGCTTCTCCCCCTATTTCACCTGGTTGCAATGTAAGAAAATTGAAGAGTAAAAGTTCACCATGGAAGGCCATTCAAAGCTTTGCTTTCGAAAATGGGATTTTTTGAGTTTGTTAGTTATTTGGATTGGGTATTGTTCCAATTGATTGCAAAATATCAAAAAGAGTTCAAAATCAAAATTTGAAGTGATTTGGAGTAGATTTGAGCAAGATTTGAGTTAAATTTCAAAAAAGACGCAAGGAGGAAGACGGAGTTAGTTTTTTGTATAATTATGTATAATCTTGTATAATAGTGTATATGAGTGTATAAACATATTTATACACTTTTATACACCTTTATACAAGCGTCTGTAAATGAACTTCTTCCACGATTTTCAGTTGCAATTTTTGTTCAAAACCAATCCAAATCTTCATTAAATGACTTCAAATTTTATATACAACCTCCTTATACTATTTCTAACAAGTCCAAATAACACCAACTCCAAATTTCTCAACAAATCAAATTGGGAATTTAAACCCACATATTTAACCTTGTTAAAAATTTAATTTTCACCACCCAAATGGATTTGGCTTGTTGAACTAATATTTGAGACACAATTAGTGATTCGAAAATTAATTTAAAAGCTTGAACAATTTTTTTTTTTAAAATTAAATAGTAATCTTAGCCTATTATTTTTGGGCTAGTTGATAGTAAATTAAAATATGGGCTATAAAATTAAAAAGTATGTAGTTCACTTGTTCAAAAATTTCCGGGATTACTATTGAATTAAAAATATTTCAAGACGTATTTTCCGCAAAAAGTAGGGAAGAAATTATAAATAGTGCTTGGGGGAACAGAGAGAAAGAAGAAGAGAAGTGCGACAATGGAAGCCCTGCAGCCGTTGAAGCAACTTATCCACTTTGCTTCTTTTAGGTCTCATAGATTTCGACCCTCTTCTCCTTTCTTCATTGTTCGTTGCTGCTCTTCTTCTTCTTCTTCTTCTTCTGCCGCTACTACAGCTGCAGTTGCCGGTAGAGCCGGCGGCCGCAACCGTAGGTCCAATTCCGGCACTTCTACTTCAACTTCAGATAAAGAGGCTATTCGTGCCATACGCATCAACAAGGTAACTGATACTATTACCGGTTTATTGTAAAGTTCACTTTTTTCTTGATGATTGTCAATTTATGGCCATTCCAATGACGACTAGAATTTAGGTGAATATTGAGTGTAAAAATTGTATCTTTATGACTATGTTCAGTGTAAAAATTGTATCTTTATCACAATGGTATTTTTAGTAGTTATAGAAATTATACACTGGAGTGCTTTCTAATACTAGTTGCGCCATTACAATCGAATATATTGTAATCAATCAATCCAATTAACTACTACCAATATAGTTGGTGTAGGATATACATTAATCCGTAACCTTTTCTACTCTATTCGGTCCGTAATAAAATGTTTTCTAACAAGAATTTTTGACATAACAATAACTGCCATATCGATCAGAAAACATTGATTTCCCTTTATGCTTACCTTGACATTGCTTTCACTTTTTGATCATATCTTTATTGTGGTTTCCTCATATAATCTTGAGGTGATAACTTAATTTAGACAGAAGTACAGCTGTGGAAACTTGTCCACTCTTTTTAGCTTGAGGTTCATTGTACTTTCATTACCTTTAAGAATTCAGATTAGTAGTTGTACATATTATTACTGCATGCTTCAATTATTCCATAGTATTGCAACTAATCACTCTCTCCATTCCATTTGACGGTGTTTGATTGGGTACAAAGTTCAAGTCTTATATATTATAATAATGATGGTGGAAAATATTGAAGCAGTGGTTTAAAAATTAGTTTGATATGAAAGGTTATAGAAAATGTTGAATGGTCTAATTAAATTGAATTTTTGCAAATTTATACCTGTTTTATAGAAAAGGAATGGTGTCAAACATTTTGGGACGTTATAAAATGAAAGAAGTGATATAAATTGGGATGGTGGGAGTACTTAGCTATAGAGTTTTCATCTGTTACTATTCTTTTATTGGGGTAAAAGGATCACTTGTGAACCTATTTAAATTTCTGGGTATGAATCTTGATTTTTTTTTTTGGTAAATAATTTTTTATGAATTACCAAGTAATCTTTGTACAGCTCAAAACAAAACAAAAAAACCAGCACTAAAGCTGGGCATCATCTCTAGCACTACTGCACCCCCTAACAACAACAAAATCATAAAGCATTTACTAGGCTAACTAAGGGTAAAATTTAAGCTTTCCAGTTTTTTAGTCAATCGAGCCTACATAGAACCTCTGCAGAATATCTCTTGAACAATTTGTCTGATAACTTGCTCCTCTTGCCTTTGCTTATTCTGAAATATCCTCATGTTTCGCTCTTGCCATATATGATATACACATCCAGCTATCGCCATTCTGAATAACTCTGCTCTAGCGCTCCTACCCCTCTCATTTACTTCTATCCATGCCATTTCGTGCTGCCAGCTCATAGCCTTTCTTGTCAAACCTTGCCATTGTAATAATCTGTTCCATATTCGACTTGAGTACACATAGCTGAAAAATAAATGGTCAATAGTCTCATTAGCAACATTACACAGAGGACACACCAGTATATCAGTCACACCCAGCTGGCCAGCCTGTCCCTTGTGCTTAGCCTCCTGTGAGCTGGCAGGTTAAGTATAAAATTCCATTTTGGTGCACCATAGTTATTATAAACCAACTTTCTGCATGGAACTTTTTGATGGACTCCCCTTATCTTCTGTTATATAGCTTTGATAGAGAAAGACCTCATCTTTTCTAGCTCACTTTGATTTATTCCAGCACGTTCTAAGTAAACTTTAGCTTTCATCACCTTTTTGACTATCCAAGTTGCTTGTTTCCCCTCTATGTCCCAAACTTGCTTCCCTTTACCATAGTATGTATGCACCCAAACTACCCACAATTTGTCTTTTTTTTTTTTTTTTTTTTTCTGACACAGGTTCCCCTGCAACCTTAGGACCACATAGTTTCTCCCATGCCAATAGTGCTCTTTTGGTTATCTCTCCTCCACCCGTCCAGAGGAAATTTCAGCATATAGATTCTACCATCTTGATCACTTTCTTTGGAAAAATAAAGATCTGGGACCAATAGGATTGGACTGCAAACAAAGTATTTTTAATCAATTGTACCCTTCTTGAGTAAGATAAGTTCTTAGAAGTCCATGATGTAATTCTTCCCATCATCCTTTCCAAAAGAGGTTGATATTGAATAATGGACATCCTTTTGGAGCTCAAAGGAACTCCTAGGTATTTGAAAGGTAGGTCTCCTTTAGTATATCCTAACATGCCCAGGATCTCTTGCTGTATCTTCAAACTTACCCCTCCAAAATAAATGGAGCTCTTATCCCTATTTGCTATCAAGCCAGACGCATTGGAGAACTTAATGAAACAATCATGTAGTAGCTTGACAGATATCACATCCCCTCTACAAAAAAGGAGTAGGTCATCAGCAAATCCCAATTGGATCACCTGTAGCTTCGCACATCTAGGATGATAATTAAAATCAGGGTTCAATTGCAAGGTTTTTAAGAGCCTACTCAAGTATTCCATAGCTAAAACAAATAAGAATGGAGACAGAGGATCTCCTTGTCTAAGACCCTTCTTGGCAGGAAAAGGCTTGGCTGATTTACCATTTATCAACACAGAGTAGGACACAGTGCTAACACAATTCATTATCCACTGAACAAAGATTTCAGGCAAATTCAGGCAATTCAATACTTGTTCAAGGAACACCCATTCTACAGAGTCATAGGCCTTCTGCATATCTAGCTTTATCATGCACCTAGGGGAAATGCCCTTTCTACCATACCCTTTTATCAATTCATGACTTAGCACAATATTATCATAGATCATCCTCCCGACACAAATGCAGCTTGGCTTTTGTCAACCAGATAGTCCATGACACCTTGCAGTCTTGCCGTCAATATCTTGGAGATTATCTTGTACACCACTGTGCAACATGAGATAGGTCTGTACTCTTTTAACTACTGAAGGATGTTAAACTTTTGGAATAAGAGTTACAAGAGTGTAATTTATTGGCAAAAACATCTCAGATGTGGTGAAAAATCTAATAATAGCCTCTGATATGTCATTCCCCACAACTGACCATGCTTTCTTAAAGAAGCAAGAATTAAAACCATCAATACCTGGAGCTTTTTGATCCTCTATGCTGCACAAAGCTTGATATATTTCATCCTTTGTAGCTGGTTGTATCAGTTGTAGTTGCTGCTGCCTATTTAAGATTCTCCCCTTGGTCATAATATCTAGTTGGATAGCTGGTACATGTGGAGTTGTTGTTCCCAGTAAATTCATATAGAACCAAGTGATTTCATCCTCAATTGCCCTTTCATTCTGCACCACCTGCCCTGAGGAAGTCATCAATGTTCTGATTTTATTCTGAGCCACCCTATTCTTCATACATGCATAAAAATAAGCAGTGTTAGAGTCTCCTAATTTCATCCATTGGACCCTGGACTTTTGTTTCATTATACTTTCCTCGATCAATCCCCATTTCTCTAATTGTTGTTTTAGGTTCCTCTCTATGTCTACTAAGCTAGCTTGATTTCTGTGATCTCGCATCTGTTCTTGCACATCCATGAGCTGCTGCCTGATAGTTTTTAATCTTGTATCTACTCCTGCAAACTCTCTAGAATTTAGCCGCTTCATCTCAACCTTCACATGCTTCAACTTATGCCAAACGCCATTTAACCCATTGCAATGTACAGGAACTGACCAGCTCTTTGTTGTTACACTTGAGAAATCGGGATGCTCAGCCAGAATATCGAAGAACTTAAAGGGTCTAGCATCCCTTCTTTGATTAGCCGCAAACCGGATGCGGAATGGTGTATGATCTGAAAAGTAGGGATCTAATATCTGGACATCCAGGTGAGGAAAGGATGTCATCCACTCGGCATTAACAAGGGCCCTGTCAATTCTACTATGTATAGTATTATTTGTCCACGTGAATGACCTCCCTACACACTTCATCTCAGTTAATCCTGTATCTTCCATAAAACGATTGAAGTCTCTTACTTCAAATTCACTTACTGGATTACCATTAACTCTATCCTCAATTGAAGAGATAGTGTTATAATCTCCCATAGCCACCCAGGGGCCCCTTATTACTCCATGCAGCTGCCTAAGTTCATGCCACAGACTTCTTCTTGCTTCAATAGTATGTAGTAGATAGCAGTAAAATGAAACTCCACATTCATGCTGGGGATTTGGATCGGTCCATGTATATATTGTGTATGTTTATCCATGCACCTGAAGTTCAGAATATTTGGATTCCAAAGAACCCACAATCTCCCTCTACTACCAGACTCATTATTTGCCACCCCAGTTCCAGCCATCTCCTAGTTTTTTTATTGTTTGAGCTGTTTTACTTTCATTTACTCTATGCTCAATAATAGCTATAAGTGCAATATTATTCTCCCTTAAAAACAACTTCATCTCCTTGTGCTTATACACCTTATTTATCCCCCACATTCCATGCAACAATCTTCATATTGGAATAAAAGAGGGTTGTATAACACCATCTCCACTTCTGTAACTACATTGGCCCAGTTCACTTACATTAGAGGTAGGAAATTCATTAGAGGTACACTGGCCTCCTGACTCACCAAGTAAACTGAACCCGTTTCTAGTTTGCATTCTGTTAGTGTCATTCTTGTTTGTGTTAGAGCTCTTTGCAGCAGATCTTCCTTTAGCCTCCTTCCAACCATCGTTCCCCGCCTTTTGGTTTGTCTCGACATTCTCAATTGTCATAGAATTTTGTTTGGAAATTGGATCACCCACAGGCTGAGGTGCTTGCTCAACATTCTGCGCTGGCCCTTTGATTTTATTATGAGCACGTATGCTAGTTTCTCTTGAAAGAAAACATTTGGACCTCAATACCTGGTGGATATATTGACGTCAAAGTCTTTATGAATATTGATTTTATTATGAGCACGTATGCTAGTTTCTAACTGACTTTGGACACCAAGATGCATGGTAGATCTAAGCTTGTATTGATGTAACTATGTCTTATGACAGCATGCTTGTCGAATGTAGCTTCAAATTTTATGCATCATCATAGTTCAGAGCATGTAAAGGCAAGCACCCCGAGTAATGGAAGCTATCTTACATTCTTTACCTAAGACTTAATAAGGATTAAAATGTTTTTGCATTAATCTTTCCCACTATTGGTGGTTTAGTACCAGCAAAAGCCAGCAACTACTTGATCTTTTCATTTTTCGTTTTCGACTGGATCTATACCATGTCCATTGTAAACTTTCAATTTCATCTTCAAATCTAATGTGTTCTGCTTACTCACAGGTGGAAGAGCTGAGAAGCAATGGCTTGGAGCCCTATGCTTACAAGTGGGATCGGACTCACACTGCTGGTCAACTGCAAGAGATTTATAAGAATTTAGGAAATGGCGAAGAGTCGAATAGTGAAAATGATTATGTTTCTGTCTCAGGAAGAATAGTCGCTCGCAGAGCTTTTGGAAAGCTCGCCTTTTTAACTTTAAGAGATGATTCTGGCATGATTCAGGTTTTTATATTTGCCATAGTCTTACATTACCTTTTAAAATAAAATAAAATATTGCCATAGTCTACTTTATCTGTTTTTTGCTTTGGGGATACTTTACGTTGCTTGCTGTCTACTTGCTGCAATAGCTAATAGCTATAGTGCCGCATTACTATAAATATACAGATTTTTAAGACATCTATTTAAATATGTTTGATGGTTCTAGCAATTGGTTTCTTTTCTAGATTTGTTGAAATCATCTGAGTGAGTGCTTGATATGGAATACGGACATGTCTCAGGGACATATTCAGTCCTTGATAGTGCCTATCGTCCGTTTGATGTGCAAAGTTTTCAACTGTTTATTCATTTTAAACAGCACTTCAGCACATCTCATGTGCTTCTTATCTAGCTCTTAGCATTTTTGTGCTCAAGAAACTGGGATTGCAATTGCTTGAACTTTCAGGTTCAATTAACATTTTACAAGTTAGAAACCTCTCTGAGATATATTGCTAGATCCTGTTATAAGAGATTTTCTTGTATTTCTGGATTAGCAGTGATCTTTTACCTTTAAATTTAGCCATTTTCGAATAGAAAAATGTGCACTCTACTGAAATAAGTTAATGTTGGTTTTAGCTTTATTGTGAGAAGGAAAGGCTTGTAGATAATCAGTTTGAGCAATTGAAGACGCTTGTTGATGTTGGTGATATATTGGGGGCAAATGGTTCAATCAAGCGCACAGAGAAAGGTAATTTCATGTCTATGCCCATCAGGGTTCTACTTTCGACATCCATTCTTATTTTCTTCTATGAATAGGTTCACTTGCTTCTGTATTCAACAGTGTAGATCCTTGAACAATTTATAGCTATCGCATAATCGGTTGATAAAGACATTTGTGCACCTTTTTTGTTGCTTTTGGTAGTGTTGTGAAATATGTGAATCCTCCTCTGGCTCTTCCTTTTCATCTTATTGTTTGTTTGGATCTCCTTCCTATGTAACCAAGTCCTCCTATGAAATCCCCGCCTAAAGGATAGGAAAGATTACAAAGTTGGAAGCACCAAAAGAAGAATTTGGTGTCTTTCTGGTAAGTAATGGAAGCAATCGTCCGTATTGTCGTAAAATAAGAGCAGGCTTTGCCCATTATCCGCAGAAAGTTTTAAAGTCCCACTAGCCTTTTTTCTTTTGATTGGTAAAAGTAATTCATTGAAATACAACAACGAGTAAGTGCTGTAAAATATTTCCGAGCAGTGTTATCAAAGGCGAAAAGCGCAAAAAAGCTCTAAGGTCTGTTGCGCAAAAAAGCTCAAATAAAGCGTTGGGCTTTAATGAAGAAAGGCGCAAATGGAGAAAAACAACAAATATGTATGTGTAGTCCAAGACTATTATCTATAAGCATTACCAAATATATAGACAAAGAAATTGAAGAAAATTTATGATAAAGTGAAATATCAATCGTTTAGTGTCGCCTCTTCAGGATTACGCTCATTGGTAAGGAAAAATATGCCTTAGAGCCTTGATGACAACACTGAAGCGCTCGCTAAGCGAGGCGAAGCGCTCAACATGTTTTGAGCCTCGCTTTAGGGCTTAAGCGCGCCTTTGATAACACTGTTGAGCTCAAGAAATCAACCCATCTATGTCATTTGCAGTAGAGCAATTGCACCAAAAAAAATAACAAAGCTATACATCTGTTTTTAGTGCTAACTAGAGATTTCACTTTGCTCTAAGAATTCTCGCGTTTCTTTCTTTTCAAATGAGCCACCAAATTACTGATGGAATGGTGGTCCAAATTTCCTTTTCACGTTCCCCAGACCTTGTAAATTCCAGCCCAACCGCAGCTCTTTTGCAGTCTTAGGCACAGTTCATGCAACTCCACGAACATTGAAAAAGATGCTCCAGATCTGTGACGTGGAGGAGCAATGAAGAAATAAGTGGTTAAAAATCCTACTAGAGCTTGCAACCCGATAAACAATGTTGCCTTCTTCTTGACATGCTGAAGGCATGTGGAGTGGAGGACACATCAGGGATATTATGTGCAGCAAAAGTTTGATTTATGCCCCATCTTCTTTGCTATCTCTCTGGCTGCAATCAAGATAGGATTTTTTTTTGATAAGGACTTTTATTTCCTGTCTTCTTTCTTCTTTTGGCAATATCGTTGCTCAGGTGAAGAAAAAGCACAAGTTGAATAAACATGGGCTTCGAGACAAAAGACAGCTACAAGAATGTTAAAAAGCCTGGTACATAGGAGACCACGTAGTAGGCTGCTTACAACTCTAGAGATGAACATATAGGAGAGATCTATGAGATTAACTGCTGCCCTACATCAAAGAACATGTCAAATTTAAGCTAGGAATAAAGACTACTTCTTTACAGGTTTTACATACGTACTTTGGTACACTCTGTCCAATTTGTTTATCCCTTTTGACTTGGCATCAATATTAAGAGGAGTTAAAATATGAGTTGCTTAATGGAGTATTTTTTAAGAAACATGTAAGGTCATATTTAACTTTTGTGTTTTAAAAGAATAAACTAGAAGATAAAGTTATGTCTAGAAAGAGTAATGCAGGTCTAGTTATATAAAGTTTTCTCTGGTATTTAATGTATCAATTTTTTATTTATTCAAGGGAAGTTGAGATTTTTTCGGCAAAACACATTTTGACCACGCGTATGGTTCGTTAGACACTTGTTACTGACTCATCCATGGATGTCATCCTATCTCCAGTGCTTGAATTTTCACTTTTAAGGAAGCAGAAGATATATACATGAGCATTCAGACAGTTATGGTATCCTATACAGGCCTAAGATGGAAATCTGTAGTTGGCGTAGCATGCTCTTAAAATTCACTTCCTTCTAGTCACTAGCATCAATTCGTTCTACAGATTTGTATATGCGTGCAACTTCTGTTTGATTTGGTTTATGATTCCAAAATCCTGAAAATGACCTGCATTATTTTGAGTAGTTGGTTTTTGCAAATACATAAATCATATCTTCTTGAACTTTGTTTCTTTTGTTTCTGTTATTTTTGAGCTGTTGTCATGAAGTCTTGAAGCCTTTTTCATTGAAGTATCTCTTACTGTTTTCTTTCTAGGGGAGCTATCTGTATGTGTCAACTCATTCTCGATTCTCACAAAGTCATTGCTTCCATTGCCGGACAAATATCATGGCTTAACAGATGTAGACAAGCGCTATCGACAGAGGTGAGTTTCCTTTCTTGCACCAGTTTGTGATTGAAGATTCTAGTTGCAGCTTCTGACTCATTATTGGAAGGGTAACTGCACAACTATCATAGGAATTCTGTAGAATGGGTTATTTGGCATTTAAATTTGTATCTTTTCAGTTAGAATACATAATATGACTGTCACAGTTTTTTTAGCCAGAGTAACTTTAGATACTCTGGTCAATAATGGCAGATGGTACATAAGCGACTCTTATAAGTTGCTCTCCAGGTATTTTCTGCATCTGTGGCTGGTGCCATTGCCTCTTATTCTTGCTATCAGTTCTGCTTGTATTTTGTTTTTCACTTTCCTTTTTTTGATAACCGAGAAATTCATGAGGGCCAGTGGCGAACGGATCGAAACCTGATTGATAGGGCCTGACCTTCTATCCCTCTCCAATGAACAACCAGGCCTTTTGTTTGCGACAGGGTTCAAACCTGCGACATGCGCCTCATCCACACATCACACGCTGCGCTTTTACCTCTAAACCAAAGCCGTGGGGGCTTTGCTTTTTACTTTCACATAAGTTGATCGTTTAAAGTAGCTAAAGCAAAGGAAAATATGCAATCTACCTTAGGTTTGGGCCTTTCGCATATCTTACAACTTTTTTCAATATTGGGTTTCTGGAGAGGAAACCAGTAAAATGTCTAATTTTTACTGTTGCTTAAAAATATTATTGAGGCATGTGCTATTATAACATGGAGCAAATTGTGATATTCCAAAATCAGGGTGTGTTCACTCTCCTTGCTGCTTATGTTAGGTATGTAGACATGATTGCAAATCCTGAGGTGGTTGATACCTTTCGCAAGAGGGCAAAGGTTAGTTAGCTATTTTTTTCTTCTGACTGTTATGTCAAAAGTACAATACTTTCTCTTATCATCATTTGGTTTCCTCTTGAACTGTAAACCTTTCAGTAAATTATTTTTTCCCAGCAGTATGGAGATTTACTGAGTTAATAATTTGTGATCGTTAGTCTGCAAATTTTCCTTATATTTTCTCCTTCTAGACTAAAATAACTGGAGTCTCCATCAGTTTTGGGAGTTAAGTTGCTCATAAAGTTTTGTGTTATTACTTTGGTCTCTAGTTCTCTGATGGTTGACATCCTCCTCCTATTTTATCTCATTATTTCTTAACAACTGGTTACTAGATCATAATGTATTTTAGTTATTATGGGTAATATTGCAAGCTGGAACTTTAACCATTGCTTTTAAACATGCGTTTGTTTTCCCCGCTGGTGATTGATGATTTCAGAAATGCATGTAGTAAATCATATAAATGAGATGACTTATTAAAAGAATGATATAGATACAAATTTTTTTTCGTCATCAGTGAATGAGGTTCTTTTCTTTTGTCTCTTCTTTTGATTTTTTAATGCCTCTGCTTTGTTGAGGTTCAACCTGTCTAAATAGGCTTCTACTTCAGTCTATTCCACCCAGATAATGAGCTATAAAGAGCTCAGTTCAAGCTCTAAATTTTAAGCTACTTTCAGCTTATTATTGTAGCTTTCATGATATTTATATATTTTTCATAGCAAAGTTGTCATCTTTCAAATATTACACTTGTAACCACAGTTAACAAATAAAGCACAAATCTACTAGACTATACTTGGAATTTTGTAGTATAAAGGAAAATGCTTTCAGTTCATATTGTCTTAGCATTGTTTGTTTGAATCTTCCCCAAGTAATTTGCGATAATCTCTCGCATGAAGTTAACCTCAGATAGCCTTTTGCTGATTAATGCTATATTGTTTTGTCTTGAATTGAATTACCTATGGTGGAGACTTGTGTAGTAGACTAATAGTTGCTACTTTCTCTAGAACTTCTGTTGCAATGGGCAGTAATGAATGTTGTAAATGCATAATATTTTTTCTTCTTTTCTTATTGAAAATGTGCACTAGATTCCGTGCTGATTTAATCCTTCCTTCAGTAGATTGTATCAGAAATACGCAAGACAGTGGAATCTTTTGGCTTTGTGGAAGTTGAAACACCTGTTCTCCAGGTCTGTGAATTTCCTTTTGGTTGTATGGGCAAGTGTTATCTCATATTTAGTTGTGATTTATTTTTTCTTTTTTTGTGTTTTTTCCATGAAGCTTGTGAGCTACTCTTCCATGAAGGAGTATATTATGCTCTGAGTGTTATAATATTTGCTTTTGTAAACTTCCAAGCAGTGGCGGAGCCAGAATTTTCATTAAGGGGTGTCAAAATATAAAGAAGTACACCAATGAAGAAGCCAAGGGGAGTTGTCACGACCCATTTTCTGAATAAGCCGTGGCCAACACCTGGTCGCTAAATTTGACCGAGCGAACCATCTATGCTTATCAAAACTATTATAACCTTAATCTTTATATGTAACATGGCAATACTTTAACCAAATACTTTTAATTAATTTGAATATCTAAAATAAACCAACTCCAAAACTTTATTCGTAGTACCACTGAAATACTGCTAAGTTATTATCAAAAATATCTAAATCTTAACCCAACGACTGTGTCTATGAAGCCTCTATTGATAACTGACGCACTGCTCAGGACAAGGACATGAGATTTCCTGGCAAGTTCTCAAAGTAAACAAAGAAATAGGTAAATGATGACGGCTCAAAGGAGTACTCCACGAATAAAAGTGGAGCTCACCAATAGCACTGGAAGTGAGGGAAGTCCTAACCTGTAGCCTGTTCGCCTGCAAAATCGCTTCCTACGTTGTACCGCAGACCAACGTAGGTTCCCAAAAGAGAAAGTCACTACCATCCATTATACTCAATGAGTCTTAACAAACGGAAACGAACTTTAATAACATATATATTACGAGCAAAGATTCTAAATGCATGTAAAACATAAAGCTTATAAGAACAATTCTAAAATAATTGCATAATAGCAGTTTATGAATATTCTAAAAGAAATTCTTTTCTTTTTCTTTCTTTTAAAAAAAATATTTCACTTTATACTTTGGGAGTTCCAATTATCCTGACTTAATTCTGTCTCAGTCACCGTGTGATCGGCACTGGTTCGATCCCAACCTGATCGAATAGGCCCAATCCACGAGGTGCCACTCGCTTCATGGTTCTCAGCGCTCATGTACCATACCTTAGCTTGGCTTGGCAAATTCAGCAACGAGACCCTCGGCTCGTGTGCTTCCTACTTTGGCACAAGTAGTTTTAGGAAGTCAACGCCTTGATCAGGACCCTCGGCCTGGACGATGACCCCTTCTTAGAATAGAGGATACTCCCATAAATCTTTTCTTTCTAAACTTCTTCTTGTGACTTTTCAAGTCTAAATCTTTTCTGAAACATCCTATACATACTCATACTGATATCCTTAAATGTAAAGCATGACATAAGAATGAAGTAAATATTCAAAAGTATATCTAAAGATTCTTGCTCCTTCGTGAATTTTCAACATGAAAATGGCATATAAGAATAAGACAAAAATCTGAAAATTTATGCACATATGTCATAATAAATCATCTAAACTTTAGCTAGAATAATTCTAAGTTAATAGGTACTCACTCGCTCCAATTAAGTACATATAAACTCTTTTAAGCAATTCATCAAACACCTTGTATGCGTGCTTTTGTGAGTTAAACCACTTTAGTAAAGGGTTATATCAACTCACATCAAAACTCCTTGAGCCAATGCGTAGGCCCCAGTCCAATTTATATCCGTCAAACAATTGATTCTACAACAACAAGTGCATTTGAATTAATTTCAAAGTTTCACATCTAAACATGGAACTTACTGTTGATACAGAGGAAGAAGGGAATTAACTATCCAATTCTTACCTACTGCTACTGTAGGATAATTGAGAATAGAAAATTGTATATATCTGAGTTCAAGAACTAGTGATTTGTAAAGAAACCTAGAACTTTTTATTGCCTGCGTGAGTGTTTCGCTGAAACGCTGCTTCTGTTTCTTGTTCGTATAGTATTCTGTAGCTTTGCTTTCTTTGGACCTCTTTTTCGTCGGCAAGGCTTTAAGCCTTTTCTTTTTTTAACAGCCTTTTATGGGCTTAGGCTTGTCTCCCCACCCCCCCTTTTTTTTTGACTTAACTAATTATTAATGATACCCACTTTTAAATACTACTGATATTAAAATTATTAATATTCCCCTAATTGTATATCCAATTCTTTATAAATAGAAAAGTAACTCAAAAATCAATCACAAGGGTTTAAATCTGTAATAGAAGTATAATTTAAGATTTATAAAAACATTAAATTCTATATTTAGCGTGTCTTGAAACTTTTATAGATTTGAGGAGTGTTACAGGAGTCATTATATAGTATATATGCATAATAAAGAATTTTTACCTACCTACATAGTGTAATTTTTCGGCAAAGGGGTGTCAATTGACACCCTTGAATTCATGTGGCTCCACCACTGCTTCCAAGTGTTAGATGCAGCAGAATGGTTGCTCCAATTGTTCAGGGAATATATGTTTTTTAACTGGTATTGCTTGATACGAGAAAGAGGTAGTGACCAATCCCCACAAATATCTTTGAATGGAAGGAGTTAGATGAGACCTGGGTTAATCTCTTTGCTCTCACATAAGCACTTTATCATCCTTATTCCTTTGTGCACTGCATTCTCATGATTGCCTTAGAGGCACTTTTTTAATACTGTAAAAACTTTAAGAATTAAGCTGCAGTGTGTGCACAATCAAAATTCCCAGAACCTCCTTTTGTAGTTGCCTGTATAAATTAAGCTACTGCATACTTGCATATGACCAATAACTACTTCAGTACCTAGTGCTTAACCAAGCGCACATTGGTTGTTATTCGGTTCTCTAGCTTGTTGAAGCCCTTGGTTGGGATGTTGTTTGTGCTTAGTCATCTCTTGTGTGTTAGCTTTTTCCTTTGCTAATTCTGCCTTGCACTTATTCAGTGCAAGCCTTTGAAGCTGTTCCAAGCTCCTGGTTGAGATAATTGTAGGTCATTCTTGGTTATTCTTTGCTGCTTCCCTGATCAAGAGATACTCTTGCCTGATTTGTTTGCACTTAATGGAGGTCTGAATCTTAATCATTCAGATCTCGGTCATTAAATGCATTTGTTTTTTAGATCTGAATCTTAATCATTCAGATCTTACCCATTTAGACTTTTTGGTTTTTAATTTTACAACCACTTAATGGGTCTGAATACATCTTAATGATTAAGATCTACAATAGTTTTAATATCATTAAGATGTTATACATTTAAGAATTTTTGTAAAAATGATATTTCACTATTACTCCCACACTTTCACCACTAAACATCATCACCACTACTAGCTATCGTTGTCCTCTACCATTACAGACTACCACCACCCACTACCCACTATCCATTACCACAATCCTCAGCCACAACCACCACCAGTGCCAAGCATGAATGTCGGGTGTCACTACTAATAGCCATCACTTACAACCATTACCACCAACTACCATTACAACAATCACCGCTATCAACCACCATTATATATCATCCATCACTGTTATCAGTCACCACCACCATCAAACACCACCGTTAACTACTACTGTCATCCACAATCTACTCTCATAATCACAACTATCAACCAACACCACCACCAGCTACTACTCAGTCGTCACCCACAACTACCAGTGTTAGCCATCATCATCGTCAACCACCATATATTTTTTTTAAAATGTTTTGTTAATATAGTACTAAATTAATTAGTACTATTTGATTTGAATTAATACTTATTAATTTTTAAATAAATACAATATTTACACATTCAAATGTAGAGAAAACAAATAGTCTTAATTATTCAGTATTCAGAACTTAATACAACATCTTAATATTCATATGTGAATTCAGATTCAAATATTTTAATCTTAATACACATATTAATATTCAGGTGTGTATCTAGATTCAGACGTCTTAATCGTAATAAAAACAAATGAGGCCTTAGATCCTTGCTGTAAGGATTGGCCCAAGTTAAACAGCTGCTCCATCAAGATCTTCCTCTCTATCACTCATTAATCTTCTTTCTTTTTGAGATAAGATGTAGAATTACATGATTGGATCAATTAGAAAATAGGTTAATGGGCAGAGCAAAATGAAACAATCATTATCCACCTTATCAGTGAGTAAAAAAATATTGTTGTTTAGCAGGAAAACCACTAGTTTGAATGAAAACCTGGTATGGAAATGCATTGTTGTAGCCATGGACAGTTGTAGTAACAAATTGATCAAAGGACAGTTGTAGTAACAAATTAATCAAATTTTAAGTGTTGCATTGTTGAAATATGAAGTGATTACATTTTTTGAAAGTGTTCGAATTTAAGGGAATAACTAGAAATTGTTAGTGTAAAAAGGATGCTTAAAATTCATCTTGGCTTATTCACATAGAAAGTGGTTGAATTTAGGTTGGGTATCTTGTCTTCCTTCTATAACTACTTAGGTGGAAGTCCTTCCTTTTCGAGTTTCTCTTCTATTTTTCGTATAGGCGGTTGTTTTTCTAGTAGCCTAACTTCTTCATTTTTCCCTATCCTGAATTTACGATATCCTTTATCTTTGAGCAACTTGCTTGAAAACTTGGTCCTCATCTTTCTTCTGTACATCCCC